GTATAATGCCTCTCTGGGAGGCCGATTTCCGAGAAACACCTGCTGGAGACCGGAACTGATGATGCTCGTTTCAGGCGAACTTCTGGAAGCGTGCAGGGAAGGGATAGCAGCTTCACACTGGCTTTACCAATGCGCATACCGTATCATTTCAGACTGATTATATAATCCAGTAGGTGGAGAGACAATAGCCAAGGACTGGTGATGGCGAACAGGGGCTGTACTAAACGCATGGTCCAGGCTGTCCTCGCCTTCTTCATCTTCCTTTACTGGGTATGACGTTGTTGAATGCATTATGTGATTATGATTGCATTGTGTGGTTCGTACTGTGATTCGCGTACACGCGCCCCACTTGAAACACTCCTTAAATGTCATAAGGCTGCGGGGTCGCGTTCGTTCGCTTCACCGGTTCACACCAAATAAATATAACGATGGTGATCGGTCCGTGTGCCCAGATTGTCGCGTCGCTGACACGTCTGTATGGTGATGGGTCCGTGGGTCCAGATTGTTGTGTCGTTAACACGTCTGTATGGTGATTGGTTCCTGTGCCCTGATTGTCGTGTCGTTGACGCGTCTGTGTGGTGATCGGTCCGTGTGCCCAGATTGTCGTGTCGCTGACACGTCTGTATGGTGATTGGTTTGTGTGCCCAGATTGTTGTGTCGTAAACACGTCTGTATGGTGAATGGTTCGTGGGTCCAGATTGTCGTGTCGCTGACACGGATGTACACCTGTTCGCGCGACTTGTGAAAGTACTGCGTTAGCTAACGAAAAGGCAGCAGGTGGGTGCTGTTAGGCATGCTTCCATTCATTCATGCGTGAGAGCACATGTTTCGTACCAGCAAAGTAGCACTTTAGGAAAATGTAAGACAGGCAATAAGTTTTGGTGACAACTGAAGTGATTATTATAATGAAACCTTCAGAATGCAAACGCAGCGAAAAGCAAATTGAATATATACTCATGGTGGCATTGACGCACATCACATATGTTACTCGTATCTCCACGTTCGAAACATCGTCGATAGTGCACGGACGCGCGCGCCACCAACCCCAGTGGCGCACACTGACTCTGCGCCCTGCTGGCGTCCGCCGCAGACGTCCGGCTGCGCGCTGCTGGTGCTGGGCTCGGCGCTGCTGGTGGACAGCAGCAGACAGCTGCTGTTCCTGCTGGTGGACGTGGACGGCGGTCAGCTGCTGCCCACGCTCAGGCGAGACCGTGCCGCCTACGGCACCGGGGCCGGTCACGGTGTGGGCGTTGCGGGGGCGAGGGAGAGCGGATACGAGAGAGAAAGGAGAGGAAAAGGGCGGAAAGGGGAAACGGCGGGAGGGAGAGGGGAAGGAGATAGACAACTGTTAGAGTGCAAAGAAAGGAGGAGGAGAGAGAGAGAGACAGAGAAAGAGGGAGCTAGAGAGAGAGAGAGAAAGAGAGAGAGAGAGAGAGAGAGAGAGAGAGAGAGAGAGAGAGAGAGAGAGAGAGAGAGAGAGAGAGAGAGAGAGAGAGAGAGAGAGAGAGAGAGAGAGAGAGAGAGAGAGAGAGAGAGAGAGAGAGAGAGAGAGAGAGAGAGAGAGAGAGAGAGAGAGAGAGAGAGAGAAGGGGAGCAGCAAGCAGAGAAGTAGAAAATATGGCAAGAATGAAAGAGAGGGAGGAGTGAGGGTCTGGGCATAGCATACCTCGAGAGGTACGGTGCTCGAGGTTGTCATGAAAGAGAGGGAGGAGTGAGGGTCTGGGCATAGCATACCTCGAGAGGTACGGTGCTCGAGGTTGTCATGAAAGAGAGGGAGGAGTGAGGGTCTGGGCATAGCATACCTCGAGAGGTACGGTGCTCGAGGTTGTCATGAAAGAGAGGGGGGAGTGAGGGTCTGGGCATAGCATACCTCGAGAGGTACGGTGCTCGAGGCTGTCATGAAAGAGAGGGAGGAGTGAGGGTCTGGGCATAGCATACCTCGAGAGGTACGGTGCTCGAGGTTGTCATGAATTCCTGATGCACAACTGCCGCGCCGGTGTACAGCTGCGTGGCGGCGACATGCAGTCAATCGGTCGCGTTCCAGCGGCATGCAGCCCATGTGATTGGTCGCTGGCCAAATGCTGGCGCGCTCTCAGCCGGCGGGGCGGCGCTCATGTCGGGCTGGTCTGCTGTCGTGCGGAGCGTGCGAGTGCACCATGCTGAACCGGAGCTCAGCCCCAGGCGACCGGCCTGCTGTTGCGGCGGCGGGACTCGCCAGGCGACAGCAGGACTCTCCACTGACACGCTCGCCCCTCTCTGTCAACAGACTACTCTGTGTTGGCCTGGTTCTGATCGGCACGTTCAAACTGCTGGCGGGCGTACTCGGATGCGTGGGAGCTCTCAGGGAAGACAGCTGCATTCATGGCTTTGTAAGGTTTCGCCAGTGTAGCACGCCAGTTGTGGACCTGCGTGCTCATGGGTCGATTTCTCACAACTGGTGTGCTGTCATGCATGCAAATTCGAACCCAAATAAGACTGTGCTTGGTCCTGGGCATGCAATGCTACCGCACCAATTCATGAAGTTCCGTCTGCTGGCGTGTCTGTATTTGTGAAAACTCAAATTACACCTAATTATCTTGTGTTATGCCACGAAGCCTGCTTATCAGCAACATGACTAGCGAGTTACAAACATACCAAGTTACGAGCATAAAATTTTCGTGCAGTCGCACCAAACATGCGCTTCGTAATGTTAAGTTCGTAAAAAGGGTCATCCACTGTCTAACGCATCTTGTGACTTAGGCTGTTGCATTAAACATGCTTTTCATTGGGTCCTTGTTCTGACTGGGCGGCTAACAAGTGGCTTTATGATGTCCTCTTTTCAACTTTGTTTCCAAATAGCTCGATTGCAGATATCATTCGACGCGTCTTGGCGCATTTCAGCGCCAGAATGCGGTTGAAAAATGTCAACTTCTGCCATTTGAGCGCGTTTCATTTCTTTCAGTTCTTCATAACAGGCTGCGACTGGCTTAAACTAAATTTGAGTTAAGTGCATTTTTTTTCGGAAGTGCAGCGTGACAAAAAAGCACATTTGCGTAAGCAAAGTAAAAATTTGTGACATGGTATGATGCACAGGTAGCAGGACAAATGAATTATTGACATCAATTTGTGGCTGATGTTCTTCATAAAACGCCCCGTGTCGTGATAATTTCCGCAGCGCAGTAGGAATTGTCTTATCCCGACGGATTCGATGCAGGCGTGTGGGTGGCATCCAACTCATGTATGCGGGCATACACTGTATTAGTAAGCCTTAATGGAAGGGGCATTTGAGACTCAGTTCGCTTAGACGCTTTCGGGTTGCATCCGATAGTCTAATTTCAAGCACAAAGGTTAAAATCCGAAAGGCATCACCGTAGCGAGCGCGTATCACTGCCAATAAGGACATGGTGAGCTGGCGTTCATTTGCCAACTATTACATGGCTTTCCGAGGTGATCAGTAAAACTAAATTATAAAGCATTTCTTGTTGCTTTTTGACGTCAGAATTGGTGTGGTTACCAGCTTATCATGAGACAGTAAGCGTAAGACAGCACAACCAGAATGCGACGAAGAAATTTCGATCGAAGCCTCTGATAACTTGGCACTGCTCTGTTCGCAGTATTTCTGCTTCATAACGATAACGATGTGCGCCGAGATGACCGTGGGAATATTCAGCTACATTCACGAGCAGAATACAGACGATGCCCTAGCTGCTGCCCTCGGACGGAAGCTCGTCAAGTATTACGGTGTGCCGAGCTATGACACTGAGACTATGGCCATCGACTTCGCACAGTACAAGGTAATCATGCTAGTACTATTGTAATAAAGGAGCTTGGGTACTCTTCGTAAGTCTTATTGCCTTTGGATAATGTATATATATATATATATATATATATATATATATATATATCTATATATAAGCCAATTTGGTACTGTATTTATTCACTGGCGGCGCCAGTGGATTTGTTAGGTACATCAGGAACAAGAGAAGAACAGCGTTTATGTCTTGCCGCATGGAAACAATGCGTAAAGTGAGAATTCGAGTGCAAGTGCCAACTTCATGTTTCATGTCGAAAAATGGACGTCTGCTGCTCTGCACACTGCTCGGGGAGCTCAACTTAATGTGCTTGAACGCGTCGTTGCACATCACAATACGACAAATGTACTGTCTTTTGCATGTACCGATTGCAGCTCATTCAAGATACATAACAAAACTAGCTGCATTGCGGCCACTATGCCGACCACGTTCGTGCCCGCACGCACCACGAGCGTGCCTGGCAGTTTCAGTGCTGTGGCATCCGCTCGCCGTCCGACTACGACTTCTCCCGGTGGCGTGTGGAGGAGATGGGCGGCGCCCAGCTGCGGGTGCCGCTGACCTGTTGCGCCCTGAGCCGGGGCTCGGCCCACCCCTACCTGAACCCGCGACCCCGGGACGTCCACGCCTGCCAGACGAGACAGCCCGATGTGCACCAGGCGGAGAGGCACACACAGGTATGTGCCGCACTCGCCACTCGGCTGGCACTTGTTGACTCGCCCATACAGCTTCAGATGGATGATTCTTCTGGGGCTGCAGCGTCACGGCCACGTTTCTGGCATACACCCAAGTTATGGTCTATCGCTCAAGATGTTAGCTGCAGGCATGTGCAGGGTTTATAGGACGTTGTAGCAAAGGACCTTATATGTTGCGTGAAATGGTAACTCACGCACGTAATGCTTCCGTCCAAAGTTGATAAGCTAACGGAGCCCTGGGGGTGTGTTCAGAGGTCAGCCAGCTCAGAGCTCAGAAGCTCAGTAACAGCCCTCACGTCAAGGGCTGAGCGAGGGGAGCATCACTTGCCTCGCTGGGTTTAGCTGTAGAACGCGACATCCAATGCCCCGTTAAGTGCGTCCTTCCCGGACTCCAGCTCTCAATTGGCTGGTTACTGGCTTGAGTATGACCTGGCTCAAGCTGACTATTGGTATTTTATGCTGTTGGCCAGCAAGCGAGCCACGACACGACGCATGACATCTATATATAGCCCTGCGGACGCCTTTCGTTGTACTGCATGGCATTGCACGGTATAATCCACGTCATGAGTTATACACTGCCGCGCAAACCCCTTGAACTCGCCGGGCGTTTAGACGGCAACGGAAACCGGGGCATCTCATGAGCACAGATCCTGACAGCGCCCGACTGAGCACAGATCCTGACAGCACCCGACTGAGCACAGATACTGACAGCACCTGACTGAGCACAGATACTGACGGCACTTGACTGAGCACAGATACTGACAGCACCCGACTGAGCACAGATCCTGACAGCACCTGACTGAGCACAGATCCTGACAGCACCCGACTGAGCACAGATCCTGACAGCACCTGACTGAGCACAGATACTGACAGCACTTGACTGAGCACAGATGCTGACAGCATCTGACTGAGCACAGATACTGACAGCACCTGACTGAGCACAGATACTGACGTCACTTGACTGAGCACAGATACTGACAGCACCTGACTGAGCACAGATGCTGACAGCACCTGACTGAGCACAGATACTGACAGCACCTGACTGCGGTAAAGACACTGACGGCACCTGACTGCGGTAAAGATCCTGACAGCACTTGACAGGGCACAGATCCTGACAGCACCTGACTGACCACACATCCTGACAGCGCCTGACTGCGGCAAAGATCCTGACATCACCTGACTGAGCACAGATCCTGACACCACCTGACTGAGGTAAAGCACAGATCCTTACAGCACCTGACTGTGGTAAAGATCCTGACAGCACCTGACTGAGCACATACACTGATAAGACCTGACTGCGGTAAAGATCCTGACAGCACCTGATTGAGCACAGACACTGGTAAGACCTGACTGCGGTGAAGATCCTGACAGTACGTGACTGAGCACCGATCCTGACAGCACCTGACTGCGGTAAAGATCCTGACAGCATCTGAGTGCGGTAAAGATCCTGACAGCACCTGACTGCGGTAAAGATCCTGACAGTATTTGAGTGCGGTAAAGATCCTGACAGCACCTGACTGCGGTGAAGATCCTGACAGTACCTGACTGCGGTAAAGCCGAATGCGGCAATTTGTGCCACAAACCACGATTTTCTGCTGGCGGCTTGACTTGACGGGACGGGATTTCCCGCTGGTGGCCTGACAGTCCTTGCTTGTGGCTGTGAACTAGTTATGGTAGATTCCATCCGGCCCGCCTACACCATTTCTGAATTATGGAACTAGGTGCTGCGGCGAGAGTTGAGGAGTGGGAGCAATACTTGGGCTACCCCACGGCAACCCAGACCCCGAGGCTTACTCCACAGAAAACCCAACCTACGAAGCACATGCGTGATGGCCTGCAACGTCAACTGCAAGAGCCTCACCGACTGCACCTGTTGTTGCAGGGCTGCCTGCAGAGCATCAAGCGCTGGCTCGCCAGGGAGACGACGCTGCTGACATCTGTCGGCCTGGGAGTCGGCTGCCTCGATCTCCTATGCTTGGTGACTGCCGTATTTTGGTGCCGGCGAGTTTCGGCTGGCAGTGACATCGGGCGGAAGTCTTGGGAACTATCACTATGACGAGACAGACTCCAGTTGTGTTAAGCTGGGATGATTGCGCGCAAGAAAGAAGTGAATGAGAACTATGCTCCCTACGGTTTAATCCGCCAGGCAAAAATACATGATCAGTCACGACGACATTGTTTAAAATTCAGGCATTATAACAACGACATAACAGGAGCCGGGGTCGACGCCACGAATTTTGAAATGGGGTGGAAGGATTTTCATGGGGATATGCCGAACAGAACGCGGCCTCTTCAGAGGAGCCCCCTATGCAGTGTCGTTTTCAAGGATGAGGGTTACCAAGGCTCAGTGCTTCCTTAAAGGGAGTGTTCCATATCCGTATGGGGTTTTGAATTGAAATAGTAATTTTGAAGACCTTTCAGCGCAGCTCACAGCCCTGCCCATCTTAAGACCTAAACCTCTCTAGTTTCTGAGCTATAAGTCCGCCAAAACGGGGAAAGTATTTCGGAGAGAGTATCTCAATGTCACCTTGGCATTCATACCGTCATAATAACGCCATTCAAATCCTGCAGTTTCACAACGTATGCAGCGATCGAGGCCGAGAAAAACACAGGTTGAGTTGTTCATACCTGGCGTTCGTGAGCACGATTTCCAGATGTAACAGCTGTCAGTTGTTTCACGATCAGTGTTGTGCAAGGTACGGTGACGTAATCAAGGTACGGTGCCGTAATCAAGGTACGGTGACGTAATCAAGGTATGGTGACATAATCAAGGTACGGTGGCGTAATCAAGGTACGGTGACGCAATCAAGGTACGGTGACGTAATCAAGCAGGAACGTATAGAGGAGCATACTTACTAGACAGAGAAAGTGTGCTGTCTAGAGCAGCCTTTTCTAAGTAGGAGCATACCAATTGTTATAAGTGAGCGCAATCCATATATTATTCTTGGAGAATGTTTGTGGCGACTCGCGACGGCCCGGTCAGCAGCTCGCGCCTACCTAGGAGCTAATCAGGCGTCATGAAGAGATCATGAAGACTACTTTTTGAGGGCCGATAGACCTGCTGCATCTACATTATCTAGTGATTGATGAATATGTTGGAACAAGGAGTGTGACCGAGTTATGAAATAGATGAAACAAGAACATCATGGCATTGTTAGTTGATAGGTATGGCCGTTAGGCTATGAGGCATATGACAGCGTCAGATAGTTGAAATATGAATTTGTGCTATCGGACGTATCATTCTTGTTATTGCTATGATAACTATCGTTTTGTAAGTAACTAGCTGGTCTTCAATGTTCAAAAGTATTTATTCCATTTATCAGAAACTGGCTAACCAGTCCCTGACCTGGCCGGGTGCCTGCTCGTGCGCTCAATAACTCTTAGAGTGTCAAGTATGTGTGCTCCTCATCTCTCTGTAAAGGCTGTGAAACTGGCGGAGGCGGCGGAGGGCGACATACCCCTCCCACTCGATGCAGATTTGACAACGACTCTTACGTCGGCGCCACATACACGGCTGCCGAACTGTGGACACCGGCAGCATCACCTTATCACCAGGTGTGCCGACGTCCACCCCGCCGCAGTGTCAGGTATCGCGCCTCTGGACGCCCACCACGGGATCCGACAAACAGCGGGTGAATCCTACGGCACTTGTCCCACGAACGCCAGGTAGAACGCCAGCATCCTGCCGATGCTGGGCGTGAGCGCGGCGGAGCCGTCCGGGCCAGCGGCGGCCCCGCTGCGGTCGTCATCAAGGGCGGGCCCGCCCTCCACAGGCTTTCGGGACAGATATCGTCGGTACACATCGGCGATGACTGCAGCCGAACCCCGCGGAGTTCTAGAGCGCCGAGTAGACTACACAGGCAAACAGCGGCCTCACCATCGCGCCGTGTGAGCACGGGGGACCGTCCTCGCAGCCAGTGGTCGTGAAGGTCGGTGGTCGGGATTTCTCCATGAGGATAACTCAGTGAAACACGTGAAATCGATGTTTCAGGATCGTTGACAAATGACAGTATCCTGTACAGCCCTTTAAAATCGGTTCTAGCTTCAATTATTGCTTCCTCCACTTTGCACAGAGACTTCGACCATAGTTGCAATAGCTCTATCAGAGAGGGGCTATGTTTCTTGGCTGTTCTTGAATGGAGGCTGGCTTCACGCACCAGCAAGCGGACCACATCATTTGGCTGTCCTATCTAGTCCTGTATATCATGGTCGCTATGGACCGTCATACCTCCACTCTCAAAGCCAAAGTTCGCTTAGAAAAGACTCATTGCAGTAAGCGTCACTGGGCAGCAATCAAAGCCATAGTATAACATTTCGCTGAATTTGTGAGATAGAAGCTCCACGTTTGCGTATCCTTTTGTCGAAGCAGTGTTTCACGCTCCCGTTGCATTTATTACACGAACATTTTGACATATTAGTGTGCTGCAAACATTGCAGAACACGACCGTTGAAAAAAGCAAGACAAATGCAACGTATTTCTTACATAGTGGTGAGCAGGGAGTCAGTTGAGATTTATCCCACAGGATTAACTTCTTCAGCTGAAAGTCTGAGCTTTTCGGAAATATTTCGTGAAAAATTGTATTACTTATGAAATTGTATGCGTCTGATTTAACAATAAGCGAAAGGTACAACAAATGTTCCTTTTAAACGCCTGCTTAAAATCAGTCGCTGACGCTCCTTCTTTCACAATGCTATAGTCGCTTCTTTGTAAACCGATAGAACTCAGAATTTTGACCACAAATTTGATTGGAATCCTACAGAGAAAGCAAGGACCCCACGAATGGAGATTGTAGATCGAAATGAGTCGAACAAATTGCGCTAACACGGCCAACCATGTTGGTCTGGTTATGTTTGACATTCCGTCACAATGGATCAGTGAAACAAATTGTGTGAGCTAGTTGTGAGCATGCGCGCTCGCAAACTGTAGCAACACAATCCTCGACGCCACGCGTTGCATTCTCCATGGGCCGCGAAGCGTCAGTCCCGCGGCTAATACTGGCCGTGGCCAACAGGCGTACGAAAATTAGGACGCGTTTGAAATAGGTGCCTTAGAACATTCGGAACATTACAAATATGAACGTCAGGGCGCTTGGCCTATTCGGAAAAGGAGCACCAAAACTATTATTACGAGTGAAAACCCCTTTATCTTCAAGACGCACACAATGCCAGAGAGCACAACAAAGGGCCTCAATCAAAACTTGATTCTCGAGTGGCACCAAATTCCGCGAACACAATAAATGTTCCATTTCCCACCCCTAACGAAATTCTAGAACGGTTTCCTGGCCGTGGGGCACCAAAGGCCTTATGTCTGGGAAACATGACCTCTACTTTCAGGAGAAATGAATGTGCCTTGCGCCCTGACGATATTCCTGACTGGTGCGGTTCTCCCCGCTTGATTGAGGGGCACCAGTCTTCATTTCGGTAGTCGCAGCTTTTATTTTCCAGGAGCACTTTATCACAAGAGATGCCTAAAAGACTTCCAAAATATTTTTAGGAGATTGCGATGTCAAGGGGAAATTGCAATCACCGTGGTGCTCCACTGACGAGACCCGGGATCGGTTCATTCCGCGAAGAGATACCCACAGTCTGCATTCCAGACATAATGGCCTGCCTGTATTTTCAAGAGGCACCCGCTTCTAGGACGAAATGCACACTGCCCAAAAATGCGGAGTCAAACTCCAGGGGGCACGTCACACTGCCCAAAAATGCGGAGTCAAACTCCAGGGGACACGGCACATTGCCCAAAAATGCGGAGTCGAACTCCAGGTGACACAGCAAGCTGTTCAAAAATGCGGAATCACACTCCAGGGGACACGACACACTGCCCAAAAGTGCGGAGTCAAACTCCTGGGGACACGGCAAACGGACCAAAAATACTTGTGATGTGGTCACCATAAATAGGTGACCAGCCTTAGATCCATAGGAGTGTCCCGAGAGACCGACGATCAAGAGCCAGATGGGAGGGTCCGAAAGGGGCAGGTCGGGAGCATATGAAGGAAACTCAATCAAAGCCAAGCCTTCAAAAGCCAGTCGTAGGGTCTATCCAGCCCTATTAAACCGATCGGACACTCTCTGGAGCAGCGAGGGTTTCTATACCAGTCAGCTGACCGAGGTTATCAACACCGAACAGTCGGTTCAGCACCGGTCTGAGCCCCGGGGCCCATTTCCCAAGAAGGCACAGGGCCGGGCCTATAAAAGGTACTCAGCGATCCGTTGCGTTGGTCGGGCCACTAAAACAGTGAATGGCCCTGTCTTGGTCGTGGCTTACCGTGCCTTCACAAGGGATCTCGCGTCGGCAATGGATGTCATGTCGGCCAGGAGCACACATGCTGAAAAGGGTCAGGAGCGGGACCCGAATATCAAAAGGTCTCTTGCATTAGTTCTGACCCTCGTGACAATGGACAGAAACGTGAAAAAAATGATGATGCAAGGGTTTGCACTCACAATGAGGGTGACCTGTGTCATACAGAGGGACACTCAGCACCGTTTCAGTCAGAGGCCGATAAGCCGAATTGTTTTCTCGGTGTCAGTTATTGCACTCCCTGCGCCGGTAACGAATCCTTTGCGTCAGTGACGATTCCTGAGTGGAGCCTGAGCCAGATGCACGAGTCAGAGGGCCTGCCGCATCATAAATGGGGCCGATGTATGATGCATCCCTCTGAGGGTTCCCGCAACGCCATCATATCAGTTGCTGGGTGCCCCGGGCTGGGACGGAAAGGCTTTTCAACTCCTGACCGGGATGTTTCACCTGTGCGATTTTGAGGTTGGTTCCCTGAATGGAATAGAGAGTTACAGCAACATGGCCAATCAAGATTACGTCACTGTGTTACGAATCTGTTAGTGCCGTACGTTCTAATCTGTTCCGAGCTTAATTTGAAAATCGTACAACTGAAGTAAACAATCTGGGTACATTTTGCATGCGAATGAGTTTCTTTCATGGAGCGTTCGGAAGTGTCATTTTGCATGTATGGTTGTTTTTTTCCCACTCGTTGGCTCCGTCAAGTGTTAAATGTAAAAGCTCAAGATATACGAAACGACGATGTATTCTTGCCGAGGACGTGATGGTCGAATGGTTAGCGCCTTTGACTCCCACATTTTTCACTTTCGAATGCAAGATAGTTTTGCGCACCGGCTGTGCAGTATACCTAAAAGCCCTTGGTTTTTAATCTG